GCGGTTTACCCAGCCGCTTCGGCCTAGAATTCTGGTAGAAAACCTATTTTTGAACAAAAAAACGCTGCTGTAATCCAGTTTATATAGGGTTGCTGGAATGGTGCCCAGAATTGTTGAGTGACCGAACCTCGGGTAGTAAGGGTCGGTAGGAAAAAAATTCAATATAGTATTCAGCACCTTACTGGGGGCAGAGGTCAGGGCACCCGTGATTAACATGGCTGCAGCCCTTTGTAACCTGGTCAATATATTTCTGTACGTGAACTTTTCTACAGCCGTCTACCATACGGTGATGCCATAGAAAGGGATAGGTCGGACAGCCGCCGTATACATCCAGTTTATTATGTGTGGTTTCAGACCGCATCGTTTCCCCACCGCCGCTTTAAGACATAGAGGCAGTAATGGCTTTCCAGGATCGCTCGGTAAGATTCCACTTCCAGTCCAACTTCTAGTCCAAAATTAATTCGAGGTATTTAACTTGAAAAGTGTAAGACCCGCACCATTTAGAGAGGGGAGTTGACAGAACGGTATCTTATATTTCCCTCGTGAATAGTACCATTTCGGTCTTAGTGGAATTTACCTTGTGTCCTCAGAGTCCACCCTCGCTCCACTAGCTATTCACGGGACAGAGAGTCCTCCGCAAAAGTTCGCTTAGCGTTTGGAGATCCTTTCCCGTTGCTGTAAGTGCAATGTCGTCAGCTCAAGCTATGACGTGACAGACAGTATTGTACAGTCCCAGGAGAATTGAGTTACTGTAACGTTCCAGAGCAAAGGAGAGAGAAGAATATTGTTAAAAGCGCCCTATAATTCAAGAAAGATACCTAAGATAAATTCTTTAAATGCAAGTCTTTTTCAGTTTTGGACACAATTTTTTGTAGTGGATTTGCCTTTAGACTAAGCAGTTGACACCCCGACACGCCCTCTGTGGAATATCAGCGTCGAGCAGTCTTTCTCGAAATTGAAGAAGAAACGACGTTAGACTTGTTATCCTGAAGTCATTGGGTTTGACGTGGGATGGTCTCACGCTTAGGTATGGATATCGCCCTAGCCTTGCTCTATTCTCTAGGAACCTGGCATGCCTTCAAAATTTTAGCAAGCAGTGCGGATTTATAAGGATTAAAGGTTTCACTTTTTCTTGTTGCACGATTCTGAGTGCTGTGGAAATTATTCCAAAAAATAAATCACGGGAGCTATGAAATTTAGAAAAGTCCGAAATATGTGGGAGATATGTCGGTAAAATCCTCAGAGATCCCGTAATATTAAACACAAATATCTACGAAGAGTCCCGAAAAATACAAAAAATTCCCGAAAATTTTCCGAAAAATAAAATGTAAAGCATTTCAAAAAGTTCCAAAAAAAGCAAAGAAAAAATCCCAAGAGATCCAAAAAATTTCTCCGAAAACTATAGCGCGAAGAACCCCGAAAAAATTCGAAAAGATGACGAAATATTCCTAAAACAAAGCACATGAACCCTGAATTTTAGAAAATTTAGAAGAGCGCTATATATGTATGTAGGAAAAGTTTTGAGAGATCCCGAAATATATAACACGAATGTCACAAAAAGGTCCAGAAAACATCCAGAAAAGTTTCAAGAAAGTTTTAAAAGTTGCCGAACATTTTCCAAAAAGTAAAATACGAAATATCTTGAAATATCCCAGAAGGTCTCAAAAAAACGAAAAAATCCGAATATATCCAGGAAATGACACAAAAATTCACGAAAGGTTTAAAAAAAAACTGAAATATTTCAGGTAGTAGCATTAAAGGAAAAACAACATTTGCGTGTTTTTTGTTGTTGATTCTGGCATCGAAAGTGTAAAAAACTGTTCTTTTTTTTCTTGAAAATACAACAAAAAAAAGAAATTGGAAAAAATAAAAATGGTTGCAACTTTCTTTCTTAGTAAATTTGTTTGCTTTGCTTATCGAAGCATTGGTCCATCCTTTGCAAGCAGTAATCAGCGGTTGTGCTGCTGAATAGGGCGAACGTTTCAAAAGCTGCTATACAATCGTTTGTTTTGTATGGATAAAGGTTTCACATGCAAATAGATTTTAACAATTTAAAATTTTTGTGAGAAGAAATTAAAAATATTTGACATTTTCGAGACCAAATAATATGAAAAAAAAAATCAAATCAAGGAGCTCTACTGATACTACCTGATCATTGTGCCTTGCGTACACAGAATTTTCCCGAAGTTGCAAGTAAACCAAATCAAACCACTGAAATGATTGTACATAAGACTGCTAAACTCCCCATACAAAAAAAAAATCGGTACTGTGTTTCCATTGGAATTATAAAATCTATTATATTTTAAGACGCACACCAAAATATTTCGGAAAATTAATAAGATTTACGTGAGCTGGACCGATTTGAAAATACCCCCACAAATGGAGTGTTTTATGAAAAACAAAAATAGTTTCTTAAAGAGTTTTTGAAAAAATAACAAAACGGTTTAACCTTAAATAATTAGCATAAACATATTTTTAAAAAATTTAATAAAAATGTTGAACGGAATTGTAATAATGAGATTTTTGATGCGGTTTTTTTTTAATTTTCAATGATTGGTATAAGAAAAACTTGAATAACTCTTCCGACTTAGACTTGTGAGGTATTTTCTCACCCTTTTTATTTCTTTGCTAATAAACTCATTCAAAGAAGGAAAGATAAAGGTAGGATGAACAAACGTCATTCACAGTTGAATTAAGATGTGTTGGTATTTAGAAAAAAAATTGGGACGCGAATGACTTTTTTTTTGCCAGAACTAAAAACAGTGGGAAAATATCTTTCAACTTTCAAGTTTTACGTAAATCAATCTTTTTATGCAGATTTTTTTAGTTTAATCTGTTGTCATCTAAGGGGACTTTTTTCAAAAATTTCTTTAAAATTCTATTTTTATACCCGAGCGCACTTGTGCACAAGGGTATTATAACTTTGTTCACATAACGGTTGTTTGTAACAGGCAAAACGAATCGAGATAGATATAGACAAATGTATACATAAATGATCAGAATGAAAAGAGAAATCGATTAAGCGGTGACTGTCTGTCCGTCCGTCCGTCCGTCCGTCTGTGCACACGATAACTCGAGTAAAAATTGAGATATCTTAACGAAACTTCGTACATGCACTTCTATTGGGCGTGGGACGGATGGTATTGAAAATGGGTGAAATCGGACAATAACCACGCCTACCTCCCATATAACGGTAATTTTCAGAAATACGAAAACTGCGATATTTTAGTAACTACTGAAGATAATTCACTCAAAATTGACATTTAGAATAACTTTTAGACGAGAAATAAGAATATTAAAAATTTTTGAAAAATGGGCGTAGCCACGCCCACTTATAGTTACATGTGTATATTTTGGAAACCGCTGCACCAATTTCTTCCAAACTTGGCACAGTTGTTGACCTTGGTACAGCATACCAAATGGCCGAAAATTTTTAAAATCGGACAATAACCACGCCCACATCCCATATAACGGTAATTTCGAGAAATACGAAATCCTCGATAAATCAGTAAATATTAAAGCTAATTTATTCAAAATTGACGGTTGCAACAATTCTTTATCAGGAAATACGCTTATGATAAAATTTTGGAAAATGGGCGTGGCACCGCCCAATTATGATCACATTTATGTATATCGGTAACAGTTCTAGCAATTTGTACCAAACTCGGTATGATTATTGTGCTTGCCACATAAAAGCAAACCGTTGAAAATTATTGAAATCGGACTAAAATTACGGCCGCTTTTCATATAACGGTAAATTTCAGAAATGCTTGAAATTTCAATATTTCGAAATTTAAGGATGCTAGTTTACTTAATATTTATACACCCGCTTATCATGTAGCGGTAGCTTTCGGAAAGGTGGAAAACATATATTTAATACTTGCGCCGGGTATTTAATGTTCGGCTCCGCCCGAACTTAGACTTTCTTACTTGTTATTCATAAAAAACTCCATTTTTGGAGGTATTTTCAAATCGGTCCAGCTTACGTAAACCTTAATATTTTTCCAAAATATTTTGGTGAACTTCTTAAAATATAATAAATTTTGTAAGCCCGGCGGAAAAGCCGCAACTTTTTTTGGTGATGCAATCTATTGTACACACATACATAAAGAAGCAAACAAATAAATGTTCAGTCCCAGCGCATTCTCTAAAAAATTACGTATACGACGTGTATGTCACATCTGCCTCTCCTTCTTCAACCTTAAGCTCTACTTTTTATATGCACGTCGTCTATCCATGTGAATCGGTACGTGTTTCCTGAATGAAAAAAAAGTTTTCAATAATGCAATATTAAATGCAATACTTTCATATAATCACGTACTCAGCCGAAACAACAGAGGCACCGAGAAACAATAAAGACTATAGTAATAATAACAAGTAATAAAATAAAAGAAGGCGTACAACGACGCACTGTTGGTTGGCACACGCCATTAAGTAGCCGCCTGCTGTGTTGTGGCAAAATTTTACACTGGGATGGGATGCAACAGAAGCAGTGCTTTTAAGCTGCAGAAAGGCGGTTGGTGATGAAGGATGGCGGAATGCATCTTTAATGTGGTTTGCAAAATAAAAGAAAGAGAATTCAATAATTGAAATTATTGTGAAATATATATATACATACATACATATATAGAACATACAAACATATCAACTGCAGTAAGCGCCGGAGAGAAAACATCACGCAGAGTTTCTGCAAGAATTGATTAGTTATTGTTCAGCAGCCAATCAGAAAATGCTGTGGTTGTACATTAGGGTGGTCCAAAAATGCATGTGAAAAATCGGAATTTTTAAGCTCTCACCCCTAGGGTTCTTGTAAACTGGAAAAAATATACCCTTATTTTTTTATTTTGTAATAAAAAAATATTTAGAGGTCGCATAGATGTATTTTATATGGGGAAAAAACACTTTCCATAGAAATGGTATACAATTCCTGAAAATCAATATTTTTCGATAGAAAAACTATGGCCCTCTTCAGAAGACTTCCAATAACAATACCCAGTTGTTTATTTACCCATTTTTTTCTGATAGCTATATTTTATAGGTCCGCCAAAACCTCCGAAAAATGCCACAAAATAGAAAAGGGCGGGTCAGAAAACCAAGGGTTGGCTGTAAAAACTTATTAGAGGGCTGTTTAAGGCTAACCTACGTTCCAATAACAACAATACAAATAATAAAACTTTGAGCAGCGTGAGGATCATCGAAGCCCGACATCCTAAGCTGTCTACCCCGGTTGGGGGCTCTGAGGAGCCGAAGTCATCTCCGGCAGAGGCCAGCGCCGCAGGAAAAAAATCAGTGGACAAGAGTTACAGAAACGAGCTACTAGACTCAGAGTAAGGAGCTACAAGCTGATGGCGGCGAACCATGTAGGTAGAACTAGGGCCTGCATGCTTAGCAGAGGTAAACTAAAATCTTTTATTTTACTTAATTTCAGCTAAGAAGACATGGTGACGACCAGGCTGGAGCGAGAGGCTGGAGAACTCTGGCTAATATCCGCCTATATGACGCACGATGACGAAGTGGAGCCACCTCCAAAGCTGCTGAGGAGCGCCCTAGCGTAAACCAAGCGAATGAAAGCGGGTGTGATCATAGGGTCCGATGCGAATTCGATGCACTCAGTTTGTGGAAGCTCGGACAAGAACTCGCGAGGTGAGCGACTTTTTGAGTTTAATGTAAGAAAGAGTTATGTATTTGTAACAGGGGGAATTCCCCTATGCTTATAACTGCTGCCAGTGAAGATATTCATGACCTTACACTGGCTACATCTAAGACAACACCTTCGCTCTCGGATTGGAGGGTTCTGAGCGATCAAGAACTGGGATCTGTACAGCAGGAATCTTCGCTTTCTGATGCGCCAGAAATAAATTCGATGCAGTCGGTGGACTCGCTAGAAAACCTTGTCGAAGTTTTCAGCTCCGCGTGCAAAGATGCTCTTGAAAGCGCATGTCCGCTGAGCAGTCAGAAAGGTAGAGGGAAACCCGTTTTGTGGACGGTGGAGCTCTCTGAGTTAAGGCGCCGAGCAGACGATTATTCAATAGGGCCCGTTAGAGTAAGTTGTCTTCCGATTGGAAACTTTATAAGTTTGGACTAGGAATCTACAAGTCCGAACTGCAATCTACGCGAACTGCGTGAGATAGGGCATATTCCAGGTGGAGTTCATCCCGAAGGCCGGAAGGAGCTCTCATGTTGTCCCGAAGGACTTCAGGCCAATCAGACTCTTGGAGTTCTGCAGTGTATTCCAGGCAGAATTGGCTGCTATCAAGGAGGCGGTGGATTCACTGCTCCGGAGTGCTATAACAGTCAGGGAAGTGAGCGTATTTTCTGATAGCCAAGCAGCTACCAGGGCTTTGAGTTCGCTGGAGGTGCGCTCTAACTTGGTTAAGAAATGTCTGCTCTCTCTTTCGGTCGCATCGGAATACTTATGAATTAGGCTTATTTGGGTTCCGGGTCACAGCGACATTGAGGGGAACTGTGTGGCTGACGAATTGGCAACAGCGGCTGGGGGTGCCATTCATGTGGTACACTCTTGGATAGATGGGACTCATGTCAGCTCAGAGAACGCTCGCCGAAAACCACGACATGCTCGATCACAAGGCCCTTCTTGCCGAGGGTGGACCGGTGCAGTCGAGGGCACTCCTCACACTCACAAAGCCACAGCTCTCACTCTGTTTGGGGTTTTAACGGGTCACTGTCCAATCGGTATTCTCGCAGTAAGGCTGACAAACCTGGAAAATGACGAGGTAAGCACCTCATCACGATCTTCTTAGGTGCCCAGCGTTTGCGAAACTAAGGTTGAAGTACTTTTACTCTCACTTCCTAAAGAGCACCGAGAAGCTCTGGGGCATTGAGATTAGCCGAATTCGTAAACACATAATCGGCTCGGGGCGTTTTATCGATAAAGTACAGAGTGCCGTTCAGAATTGTGGTATCACAAAGGGCAATCTAAAATTGTCTAAACTAACCTAACCTAACATCGTTTCTTCAAAAGACCCTTGAGAAATTAATAAACCTATACATCAAGCAAAACGTAGTGGGACACATGCCGGTTACCAGGGGTATCCCGCAAAGCGTGTATTATCGCCGCTATTTTCATCAGTCGTGGTCAACAGGATACTGAAGAAAATGGAGGGAGGACCTGCCGAATTACTGCATATGCGGATGATATTTATATCATAGTGAGCGGAAAGTGTCTGTCCACACTCAGCACACTTATGAGCCAAGCACTACGGGTTACATCTTTGGTAACATCGGGATGCATTTTTGGGTAACCGAAGTGGAGCTCAGTATCAACGGAGAAAAGGCATATCACCAGAAATACAAAGTTTTGAACTGGTCTAAGCCTAAGCTGGATGGGTTGACCCTCCAGGTGAAGCAAAGCATCAAGTACCTCGGAACTATGCTCGCGAGAGAAGAAACCATTTTTTTAAGAAAAAAGGAATCTTTCATAAGCTATCAATGATTGGCATGACAGGGGCACTTAAGACCACACCAACAGCAGCACTCTACACCTTGTTGCATCTCTTGCTGGCGGACCTATCGGCCATGCCGCCAGGCTTAATGCAACAGATCAATCGGGTTGTGCCTTACGGTCACAGCAGTAAAGTCAACTTTAGTCAGACGAATTGACTATGTGATCCCGGATCTGTACTTTGAAACGAACGTCGGGGCTACTATAGAAATCGAAGGTTCGTGTGAGAGCACGAGAAGTGATGGCTCGGTAAATGTCTATACAGATGAATCGAAGATGAACAAGGGCGTAGGGGCGACAGTCGTATACGCGGAGCTCGGCCTCAACAAATCCTATAAGCTGTCAAACTACTGCAGCATTTTCCAGGCATAAGGCCGCATTGGCCATGATGACGACGGCGGAGCTGCTGAAGAGCAATCAGGTGAATCTCTATTTCGACAGTCGGGCTACCATAAAGGCGCTTTTATCTCACAGCGCTTCCTCTACAAATGTTGCTGATTGCATGGTAGCTCTGGATTTGCTACATACCAATAGTGGCGTACATGTGTACTTGGCCGACGGGCTTGCCAAAGAGGGTGCTTTGTCGCAAACCATGGAGGTGCCAAGCGATTAAACGGGAGCTCAAGACCTCACAAAAGGTTCCAGAATTATGTGCAGAGCGTAAGACATAAAGCTCACGAAGTTTCTCCTTTCCCTCACGAGGGAGGACGCTAGGCTGCTGGTCGGTAATTGCCTGCTGGCATCGGACGCTTTAAACTGGCTCTGACTAACTATAAGATCTGTAGAAGATACAGAATGAAAGAGGAGGCAGCGGAGCATATCCTCTGCGAGTGTCCTGCCCTTAGAAAATTGTGGGTTATTTTGCTGGCAGCAGGTTTTCCACCTAATCTGGAAGCTTCCACCAAGGTAGAGTATAACAAGGTGTTTCTGTATACCAAGAGGACTGCGATGTTCTTGAACATTGCTCTTGGTATGCAGCGATTAGCTATCCGAAGTGGTCGTAGTTTATCTGATAATGCTTTGGCCAGCATACCTAACCTTACATTCATAGTATACGGTCACGGTCATTCTTGGTATACGGTGTTGAGTATTTTCTTCCATATAAAAAAATTTTTGAACTCGATTTGCATGGAAGAAAATACGGGATACCGTCAAAAAAAAAATATTAAAAATCAACGGTATTTTGTAGCAACTTCAAACTTGCAGTATGGGCTACAAAGCTGCATTTTTTATATTTTGGCAATACAGATTAAAATCTTTACGAAAGTTTGTTGAATTTTTGGTTATATTGCAAAAATTTGAAAATGGGATTTTTACGATTTTTTTTAATAATAAACTATATCTTACGATTATAAAAAATAATTAAATTCTAATAACAAAAAAAAATTAATTTTTTAAATCTTGCCAATAGGGTGTGCGTTTATAATTTTGGAACTTAGTGTATATATATGAATGTTTGTATATTTATGTAAGCATTAACTTCAACTTACAAATACAAATGGTTTTCTTGACTGTCAAACTTTCAGTTGCTCTGCTGAGCTTATTTACCACGTAACACATATGCATATGTATCTACACTTGTGGCCACGCAAGCCTTACCACCGCTTAAAAAAAAAATTAGGTAGAATTTTGTAAATTATTTAGTAAGCAAAAATATTTTGCTTTTAATATAGTTCCCACAGAAACAAAAACTATAAAATTAAAACTTTCAAACTTTGCCAATTGATAAAATTTTCATCAAAATTTTAAACTTTTTAACCGTCATCCAAAATATTTTTTTGTATGTATGTATGTTACCGCATAACTTTGGACCACGTCAACCGATTTCAATAATTCTTTTTGCATCGGAAAGGTAGTATCTCAGAGGTGGTCTCGTAGTAATCCGGTCATTGAATCATGATATATTTATATATATTTTTTTTTAAGTCGGTTTTTTTTTGTTAAAAATTACTAAAATTATGAATATTTTTACGAAAATTTCGGGTAAATATTTAAAATTTATCACACTGTTAAAATTTTAAATGGCTAATTTTCGGAAAAAATTGTGTCATTGTAAATTTTAACTGGCTGATAAATTTAAAATTGATTGGTGCAACCGGGCATTAGTTACAAAGTTTTAATAACAATGCGAACTATATATTTCACCCTTTCTTCCCATGATAGTTAAATATATGGCTACCAAATTTATTTCTATGTTGAAAGTTGCGATGATTTGATGTCAATCATAAAATTATCTTAAAACTGTATAATTTGAAGAATATTTGACCTTAACATCAAAATATTTTTTCATACGAAGAAAATATTCGGTAAGAAAAAGGTTAAAAATAAATATTTTTTTTTTTTATTAATTTAAAAAATTCTATCGATTTTTATTTTTAAGTGGTTGTACGGTTTGCGTGGTCACAAGTATATGTCTGCAAACATATGTTCATATGTTATCACGTGAAAAATTCGCAATACTACATATTCGTCACACATTCAGCGCCCACTAGCACAAAAGTCACGTATACGCCCCGTAAACCTCATAGCCACAGTTATGGCAACAATTCCACAAGTAACAATCACTTGACTAATGTTGTTCGAAATTTCAAGGATTTTGTAAACGCACATCTATGTATCTCCACAAAGCCAACGTCGCAGAAATGGAGCGCCGCTGAAAACGAAATTAATGAATGTAAATAAAAACGGAAGTGAAAAAGTTTACCATATTTTGTGAATTTCCGGCTCTTCACACATATACCAACAGGTCCTACATGTATGTACTTGTACACATACATACCTTAAGTGTGTGAATACAACAAATTTGAAAGCAATGAAGAGCAGTGAGAGCAGCAACTCAGATTCAATTCAAATATCTGCCACCTAGTAAATGGACAATATCATTGCTTTCATGCCAAGTGGCAAGTGCGAAGTGTGGCTGGCCATTCCATGCCATAGCTGACAGACTGCACGTTGCTCTGCTAACGGCATGCGTGTATGCTGAAGTGCTTGACTGCATTGCTTGACTGATTGTTGCATTCCATATGCATAACACGTTGCTAGTCTACAATTTATTTCTATGCGCTTTGCTGACAAAATTCAATCACACACATGCACACCACAAGGAGCGCATACATAGAAAACTGCAGTGAAATAAAATAAAATAAGAGTGTAATAAATTGCAGTCAAGTCTTCAAGTCTATGCTAATGTGTGTGTGTGTTCTAATCAGTGTGACCAGGTTGGCGTTTTTGAGGCCTCAGGATTTTCCGTCTGACTTCGTGACTTTTTTCTGGCCTTTTTTACTTAAAATATTTATAGCGAAATTCGTACCGGAAGTTACCATATTAAAAATACTTAATATTTCGAAAATCACTGTTTACCGTTCAAATAATACAATAACAGAACAATGTTTCCCTGAGAACATTCTTTCTTAGCTTTTTCTTAGGTTTTAAAAAGCGAAAACCACGCAATTTTCCTTATACTGAATTTTGGAAACAATTGTTTTCTTGGCGTATTACTAGTGCACTCTGATATAGAAAATAATCATATTTCTAACCGAAATTTTTTTTCGTTTCCTAAACTGGACTCTATTTTGCATACCTTGACGTAATGTAGCCGTTATTAACCTGAAAGATGTTATTTTGTATTTAAATGGGAATGATTTAAAAATTTATTTAAAAAAAAACGGTTCCGGGGAACTAATCGAGTTGTCGAAAACTTTTTAAGGAATGAATATACTGACTTCTTTTTAACTTAATTTTTCACAGGCAGAACGTTTTCTAACCTTTTTTCAAAACCAATTTAGCCTCGCTTTTTGTGATCATCTGGTCACACTGGTTCTAATGTGCGTTCAGTCGGCTTTACGAAATGCTTTGCGTGGAAACAGGGCGACAACATAAATGCAGATAACAAGACCACAGGGGAAATGGGCTAGTTTTAATTTAGTTATTTCAGGAATTTTATGTAGATGAATACTAATTTCAGGCAAGCTTGACTTTGAAGGATCAAAGTTATGATTATTAAATAAATCAGCAGTTATAAAGTTTTCGGAACGGAAAATGCGGCACTACATCTGAATACGGATGTACTTAGAGCTCTGCCCTATTTTAGCTGTTGAGTTAAATAGATAGATATGTATTAATATGAGGTGTGCACTGCGAGCCTAGAGTATATTGTGCCCGCTCATGCTCAGGCTAGATCAGACCTATGTTCCTTCCGATACCAAAGTTGTGTAGGTTACCCTTTAGATTAATGAGAACTTGGAAACACTTTAAGTTGTGTCACGCCATGTTGAGCCTCGCCAGTGCTTATGTCTTATTGCTCTGTTTCCCTTCCTGAGCTTTTCTATGATTTTATCTGAACCTATTGCCATGTAGCGCTCAGACCCAATTGGGAGTGTGACCGCCCCTTTCCTGGCCAGACTGTCTACCATCTCGTTATCCTTAATTCCATTGTGACCGGGAACCCATAGTAGATGGATGCTATTGTGGATTGCACGGTAATAAGGTCTCCCTATGCACTGGAAGATAAGCGCCGATATTACTACGAAAGATGAAATTGCTTTGAGTGCCGCCTGGCCGTCACTGAGGATCATGATTCTGTCATTGTTGTTATCTTCTGTCATTGTTGTTTTCCGAATGACTATCTTGACCTTGTTTAAGATTAAATCATAGGGGAATTTAAGGATAATGATGTTACCATCAGTATTTTTGCATCTAATCTCTTACATTCATATGTATAAATATTATTTCTATGACACAGATATATTTCTTTTTTTTAGGTGTCCCAGT